AGAATTTTTTTGCGGACGAGCAATTAAAGCTACAATAATTTGAATACTTAGTAATAATTTTTGAGGCTCAAACAAGTATGCAAAAATTCATAATCTTAAATCCAGAAAGATAAAAAGTAATTATATTCTCTCCTAAAAGATTTAGAAATCAAATTCAGTGATATTCGACTATATCATTAATTGGTGAAATTATAAAAGTATGTGGAACTGTAAAACATCTAGGCATATCTCTTGAATGTCTGAATTTTATTCCTCATGTGAACAATATTACAGAAAGTTGTTTTTTAGTACTTTGGCAATTATACTTGAACAAACAAATTCTCGCTCACAAAACTAAAAAAATTCTTTGTGTGTCATTAGTTGTTTCAAAAATTACATACTGCGACATTGTTTATCACCCGTTTTTAGATTCAGTATCTTTCAAGTGCTTGCAAAAAAATCAAAATTCATGTTGCAGATTCATCTGTAACTTAAAAAAGCAATCATTGACATAAATGTATCTCTCTATTCTGCTTATAATATATGCATTAACATCAAGTGTGTATAATGTTATACTTTGATCCAGTCCTAATTTATTTTACTCAACTCATTTTTATGTTAAAACCTCTGCATTTTTAGTGGTATATATATACAAAACTTCGCTCAATGAAGATATTTTATTACTATTATTATTAGTATTATTATTATAAAACATTAAGTTCCAGAAGCTCATTCTTCCTCACAAGTTGACTTTCTTCTGAACATCAGACATATTGTGCTGACGTAACTTTCCGACATAATTCTGGAAGTAGGACATGTTTATGCTGGTTTTGTTCAACTTGTTTTGAACAGTACAGCATCCTTAGGTGTACAACTTTTCCTCAACCAACAGCTTAAGCAAACTTTTCAAACGTTTGAAAGTGAAAAGTAATTTTTTGAAGTCGTTGGCAAAATTTTGATTCAAATACCTTTTACTTTCCCCGCTAACTGGCGACGTAGTGCTGTAATCGCGAAAAATTTCGAAAATGAAATACTATGTTTTTGTATGTTATATGGTATGTATATCTCTATCCGCAAATCCTGGACCCGTCTTGAACTCGTAAAGTATTTCTCGGATTTGGACGAAATTTTCAAAAAAGTTACTACTCTGCCAAGGAACAAACCGTATTGTAGATTTCGAAAATCTTCCCAGTGGCGGCCGAGCTACGAGCAGAGCATGAAAAAAAATTCCTCAAAGTTCGTTTTACTTACCGCAAAACGGAATTTCTCCTTGCCATTCCCCCGTTGGAGAACATACCAACGTAGTGTTCCCGAATGTTTCATATCCCTCATCGCACCGGTAGGTGGCGGTAGTCCCTGGCGTTATCCCTGAAGAGCTCAAAGTCACCCTCGTGTTGGGTGGAACTGCCGGGTGGTAACATTTTATTTCTGAAACAAAAAAGTATTTTGAGTTTTCCAAACGCCTATACCAACCTGTTTGCTTTCCGTTCATCTGTATCGAGGGCTATTAGACCTGTACCGCGCTGACGAGTTCCTAAATGAGCACAAAACAGTGCTATCTGCGATTGGGCGTTACAGAGACGGAATGGAAACATGCCCATTTAAAGAAAGATTAGGTATCAGGATTATACTAAGTGACATATAAATCCGAACACCCAGTTTAAATGGTTTTATTTTAATAAAATTTTGTATAAGTACTTAATGAAGCATAATAAGTAAATGATAAAAATTTCAAAATGATTGTACTGCTTTAAAGCCCTTTGACCTTTAATAATGTGTGGATGCACCCTGATGTGCTACGCATTCTCCAACGCGCCTAGGCATGCTTCTGATCAGGTGGTCAATGTCCTCCTGTGGTATCTCATTCCAGGCAACCACCAACTCCTCTCGAAGTGCTTCTAGAGTCTGAGGAGGACGTTGCAAATTGAGCAATCTCCTACCCATCATATCCCACACGTGCTCAATTGGGGATAAGTCGGGAGATCTTGGTGGCCATGGTAACAATGTGACATCATTATGTTGAAAGAATTCTATTGTGACTGTTGCAACATGTGGTCGGGCATTATCTTGTTGGAAAGTTGGATCTGCCAGGGTGTCAAGATAGGGTAAAAGATGGGGTTCTAGAACTTCGTGGATATAACGCTGCGCATTCATATTACCTCTGATGAAGATTAAAGGTGACCTGGAACCATAAGCTATAGCACCCCAAACCATAACTCCAACAGTGTGATGAACATGTCTTTCAACAAAAAACTGTGGATTCCGCCTTTCACCACGTCGCCTTCTAACCCTCGCACGACCAACGTGCATGCCTAAACTAAATCGAGACTCGTCACTAAAGACAATACTGTTCCATTCCTGATCCCAGAGTGACCGTTGTCTGCACCACTCAAAGCGATTACGTCGGTGTTCTCGAGTTAAAGGGAGGACCCAGTGTGGCCGGTATGAAAACAAACCAAAACTTCTCATTCGTCGGTAAACACTTCGCATGCCAATAGGTCTTCCGTGTTCTGCAAACCATTCATTTGCAATGGACCTGGTAGTGGAGAAACGGTCCCTTAAGGCCAATAATCTTAGGCGGCGATCTTCACGGTCTGTTGTTCTACGGTGGCGTCCAGTGCCCCTTGCTCTTTGCGTACGGCCTTCTCGAAGCCATGCCTGACAACACCTAACCACAGTGTCTACACTTCTTTGCACTCCATCTGCAATTGCCCGAAAAGAAAGTCCAGCTTCCCGAAGTCCCACTATACGGCCCCTATCAAACTCACTAAGTTGACGAAATCGTACAGGTCTCCGTACTCTAGGCATCGTAACCGATCGTAAAGGATGTCAAGAACCAAAATCCGCCAACGTTGATTCTTTACTGCGGCTGAAATATTCATTTTTAGAGCGTTAGTGAATTTAAAAAAAGCAGTATAAAAACCGGAATGTCCAACTGATAAGGCTGAAAATTTGTTCACTTGTTATTTACAGTAAGATAAATACATTCACCAACTTTTATTAAAATAAAACCATTTAAACTGGGTGTTCGGATTTATATGTCACTTAGTATATGTTGCAGCTAATTTGAATATTTCTGGTTCATGTATTTCGTTACCCATTTTAAATTGAGTACTGTGCTGTTGGAAAATTTTTGATTTAAGAATGAGTCACGCATGAATAGCGCTTCGGCAATGACAGTATTGGCAATATTTTAATGTTTATACCTAAACTGAATCCAAATTCAAGATGAGATGTAAATAATAACAGTTAGCGCGTGATCTCTCGGTAACAGTTGGGGACAACGCCTCTTATTGGTCAATTCGCCATTAAATTTCAAGCGGTCGCCTGGCGGAATAATGCGCGGGGCAGGGGCAGGACAGGCAGAGTTGCATTCAGGCCACCGACCGTCGCGTGTATCACTGCGTGCTCGTGTTTTCGTATTCACCTTGCTTGGTTGTTGCAGTTGTTGTTGTTAAGTGTATTTGTTAAGTTTCTGTTAAATACTGTCATCTTTGTTTTACAACACGTTGGTGGTAGTCCATCATTTGGAGGTAGCCCTGAATGCGGCCCTGTACGCCGTCCTTGCTTTTGGCAATCGCGCATCCATTCTATCTTGGGTGTAAATGCACTATAGGTATTTTAAGGAGCATGGGGTTATACGATTTCTTATATGCAAATCTTTTCTTTCATCTCATGAGCACGTTTCATTCTCCTTTGGCCAAATTACTTCACGTAAATGCCATTTTATTCGATCCACTGCCTGCACAAATCAAATAAATACGTGATCCATAAAATGGCAGTGCACACAGTCCAACTGCCCATTTCCGTATCAGAAATTACAGCTATCATATGCGAATGAATAGTTGTTTGAAGTGTGTTTGATGTCTGCTATTACCTGCACAAACATCATTATAATAATCGTTCAGTCGTCAGTTCTAGGCTGTCGTGTATTTGAATACAAAAGAAAGTTGTTTTCCAGTAACATGTTACTTATTGAGCACTAGCCTAAACCAGCGTCTTGGTTTATTTTGAAGGAGATTGGTTTTAGAGAAAAAAATGCAAGGGTTACTTTTGTAATAGATACTCTTTTATACAGTTGCCTATTCAATAACTTGTAACAATTTTAATTTGATTTGTTACAGCTGTGACATCAATTTTTCCCCTATCTCGCTAGTTTGCAGATCACATTTAATATGTAACTTTTTATATTCAAGGGTTTATTTTTATATAACATTAGTTATATTTTTTCTTTTACATAAAACGAAATGTTCATTTGATTCATTTCCTATTATTGGGTACCTGTTGGAAATAAATGTCTATCTATCTATCTATCAGCATTTTAATGCAACAATATACAGAGAAATCCATATAACCTACATACAGTAATGGACAAAAGTATATAGACAAATATGAATATTTACCTAAATACCTTAAGAAAACGAATGCATACTGCATTGCTCCATAAACAAATGCGTTACTAGTAGAAAATCTAAATTCTTTGTTTTTACATTATCTGCAATGAACACAATACAAGTCTGAATATAAGCACTTTTTTATGAGGGACAAAAATATGTAGACAAATCCTTTTCAACGTTAGTTTAGTACAGTTTCGTGTAAGAAGAGATTAGTTTGTGTTCATTAAGTTTTGTGGAATAAGTTGAGTGATTTTAAGACCATGCCGCGTGGTCCAGAAATTTCTTTCGATGTGAAAACGAAGATAATTGAGGGGTTTCCGGGAAAAACAACATTAGTCACTTTTTGTTAAAATTGAGTTGGCAACGCTGTTGTGTTCTACATGTTTCAATGCTGCTTTCTGATGTTTAAGTTTCCCGTCAAAAGCACATATCTCCGTCTAAAATGCGTTTAAAGAATCGTCGGTTCCATAAGAACGACATTAGTCAACCTAGGTTTCCCATAAAAACAACACTTGTCAATGACATCTGTTGTTTTTTTTGAGAAACGTTATATTATACAAAGTTAGGTTGATTGTTGGTTAAACGTGTCTGGTGTAAAATTAATATTATTTTATTATCACAACTATGGAATATGAAAGACAAAAACCAGCGAACAATACTGAAATACCAGAAAGAAAGAAGCCGAAAACCAATAAAAGGACATTGGACAAAATAGCCAGGGTTAAAGGTGAACCTTTTTTAATAATAAGGAAATAGACAAGCAAGCTAGAGTTACTGGGCCAGATTGCAGGTAAGTTATGACTTTAGGAATATATTTTATAGCTTTGTTTAAATATTACATATTTTATAGATGTGCTCGATCAAAATGGTTTGAGAAGATTACAGAAGACAAAAGAAATACCACTTTAACCAAATTTAATATGCTGGAATCTAAAGATGCACAGGACAGTCATCTTGCTGGTAATATAACATAATATGCTTTAATAGTAGGTACCTTATAATACATTTTTTTAGGATTAATATCATTTGGCCCCCCACGGCAAAGACGTCGTTGTAGAAGACATCAAGATGTGCCACAGGATAATGAAAATCATGAAGTGGAAGATGCTGTGGATGAGCCTTTACTACAAAAACATCAACATCTACAGTATATTCAGATAAGAGATAGACCGGACATAAACAAGACCACGTGATCATCGAACGCTGTAACATTCGGCAGGGACGTATTAAGAGTCACGCAGTACATATTTTAGATAGTAGATGCTGCTTTGCGTAACTTTGTAGTAAATTAGCACAATTCGATGTGTATACGATTGGTGATGGATATAGGATCATGTGGGGGTGGGGTAAGAAAATATAATGATGTAAATATACATAAGGGTTTCAAAATTTTCGCTTCGATTTCCAGCTTCGGATGCCGTCTGATGTTTGGTGAAATACAGTCGAATATAATCTCAAAATGGCGTTTAAATTAGCCTAAATTAAAAATAATCGTATATCTCTTAAAATTGCTTTTAGAATATTGATTAGTATATTTTTTGATTTCCAGGTAAATATGTAACCAAATTAAAACGTTCAAAACGTAAAAAAATGTGCATGGTTGAACACTGTCAGAAAGTAGATTCTTGAATAGGTTTTGCCAAAATGGGTTCAAAAATGTCAATAATTAATTAAAAAATACAGTAGCTTTATAATTACTTATAACTTACCGAATTTGATGAACGACATCTTTTATTGGAAAGATGAGCTTGATGAGCTTTCATCATCGCTACTGCCTGAAGCACCAACGTCAATAATGAATGGCTCGACTTGTTCCTCTAAAATATTGTCCAGTTCCCACATTCTCTTTTCAACTTTGTCTTTCACGTGCTTAATACAGTTTTCCCATTTTTGCGCTGTTATTAATTCTAGTGCTTCTTTGAAAAGTCCTTTGAGGTCACAAAATTTAAAAGTTGTATTGTGCTTAGCTATATAATTTTTAACCTCTGCCCATATGAGCTCAATGGGATTGAGCTCGCAATGGTATGGAGGTAAACGGAGCACAGTTTTATTTTGACTTGCTGCCATTTCGTCAATGGCGTATTTTTGATATTCCGCCTTGTGATCCTTGACAATTCTTAATAATTGTACTTTCAGCATTGCTTCTTCAAAGTTGATATTTTTCGAGCGGAGCCAATTTTGAACATCAACTTTCCTTGAAGCCGTTGTTGGGACCTTCTCCATTCTTCGAGAATGATAAGGCGCATTATCCAACACAATTACTGCGTTTTCCTCTAAGTTCGGTAAAATTTTTGAAAACCACTGTTCAAACGATTCGCCATTCATTTCCTCGTGGTAATCTCCAGTTTTCTTAGACTCAAAGCACCACAGACCGTCAACAACAAATCCATCCTCACTGCCAATATGGCAGATAATGAGCCTTTTCCCTTTACCTGGAAATCGAAGTACTAACTGGTGTAGATTTATTTCAATAAGCGAACCTTTTTCAAATGTTTTCATCACATTCAGCGAAAAAACATTGAGACATGAGTATCAGATTGCTATAATTGGGATTATTTAGTCATATTGAAAGAAAGAATATTGAACGTCGTATGACTACTCAGCGCTTCACAATTTAATTTAAAGTTATAAACCTTTAAAAAATAAATGATCAGGAACCTGAAATACGCGCAAATATTAATATTAACAAATTATAACTTTATAAAGCTTAAAGTATGAATTAAAATGATTAGAAATATTAGGAACGGTACACAATATAAAACTTAGTAACTTTTTTTAAGTTTATAATATTCGACATATTTTAAGATTATATTAAAAAATTATTGAAATATCGAAAACACATAAAAACATGGCTTAAAAAGTTCTAACAAATGAAAATGACAATAAAACATCCACGCATTTTATCGAAAGTTATAAAAGTTTTGTTACTTGTAATATGTTTTATCTGCCCCCTGGAATTAATGTTTAGAACCTTGTTCCCAAGGTTTGAAAAACATCCGATTGTTGTCTATTACTCGTATTTATCTGCTGGATTTTTTAATCCGGTGGACAGTCCATCTAGAAAGGCCCTCCTGGATGAAGTTACAGAATCATCAACCCATACTTTACTTGTAGTGTGTCCTGCGTTTACCCACGTTTCATCAAGGTAATAAATCTTCCTGTTTTGATTTCTATATTTCCCAATTTTTGTTAAATAATCCCTCCTCCATAGCACAATTTCTTCTCTATCCAGTAGTAAACTATTACGACCCCGTTTTTTCCATTTGAAATTTAAATGCTTCAGTAACGCATGGAAAGTTGATCGTTTGAAATTTGGCAACGTTGTATCTCCATTTACCTCCTGCAATACTTTATCTATAGTAGATAGTAGGTATTTCATTCCTAAAGAAGAATTCATGCACTTTCCTCCTAATCGCATGCTTATCAGCTTCATCCAATGATTTAACAATACTTTTGCGATGTTTACTGGTCATTGGCTCAGAAAAGGTGTGATTTTTTTTGTGTTGTCTTAACACATTAAACACTGATGCGCGTCACACCCCAACTTTGTGAGAAACCTTCACAACAATTTCTTTGATGGTTGATGCCTCGTTCTCCTCGCGCTCGATCTTATATATATTCAAAATGACCTCTTTCATTTCTGCACTCAGGTGTCTTTTTTTAGAGCGTTTCCTAGGTGGACTACAGGAGTTTACAACTTCATCGGCAGTATCTGTACTACTGGGCATTTTGCGCAAGCAGTTGATAACAATAACAATCAATAACAAGGTATAACAATAACAACGACAAACTCAATAACTTAATAAGATAACAAACGAAAACGTCCAAAGAAATATCAAATTGCAATGATGCACACGACATACGTAACACGTCTGAACCTGAATGTGACTCTGCCTTGATACGACTGCTCTGCCGCTCGGCATAGGCATTTAATTGCGAATTGACCAATGAGGGCTCCTGTTTTACGTCGAGACGGCGGCGTTAGCGTGAAAATCACCCGAACCTTTTGGTTACCACCGGTCTATCTCTTATCTGAATATACTGTAGCTTCTTATAAATACAAAATAAGATATGGGGTCAAAGAAAGATTGCGACGAATAAGGTTATGTATTGTAAAAACAGGAAAGTCTCCAAAGGACAGACGGTGTGCAAATAGACCTCGGAAAACTGACAGAAGAGTGTACACTACTATTCGTGATCATATAAAATCTTTTAAGTGTCTCATTATTCTCGCAGAGATAATCCAAATGTATACTACTTACCAGAAACTTTAAGTTGCAAAAAAATGTATAAAATGTTTTGTGAAGAAATTGCAGATATGCGCGTCACTTATAAAGCTTATCGGCAGGTTTTTACAAGAGATTTTAAGTTGAAGTTTGGTATTCTAAAAAGTGATACCTGTGGCATATGCGATAACTTAATGCAACAAATAAACCTCGAAACAGATATAGAAAAAAAGCAAATTTACAGACTGAAAAAAATCTACATTTATGTAAAGCCGAAAAGTTTTATCAGCTAAAGAAGCATTACCGAAATTTAGCTAGACTGTTGCATATCTTTCGATTTTATACAGAACTTACCAGTTCCCCATATTCGCAGAAATGATGTTTTTTACGCCATTCAGATGTGGTACTATGTTTTTGGAATACATAATGAGGGAAATGGTAATGCAACAATGAACTGCTATGACGAAACTGTTGCGAAAAAAGGACAAAATGATGTCGCTTCTCTACTTTTTCAGTTTTTAAAAAGCCATGAAGTTACCACAAAAAAATTAATATTGCTCAGCGATGGGTGTGCTGGGCAAAATAAAAATTATGTTCTCATGCGTTTTTTGTATGTGTAAGTTCACTGTTTGCAAATGTTCGAAAGTATTATTCACATATTTCCAGTTAGAGGACATTCTTTTTTATCAAATGACAGAGATTTTTCTATCATCGAGAAACACAAGAAAACTGCAACCGTTGAAGTACGTTCAGAATGGGACAAGATTATAAAGGAAGCACGAGAAAAACCATCCCCATATGAACTTGTTAACGTAAACTCAAACATGATATTTGATTTATCAAGCAATATTTCTCAATACTTTCTAAAAAACCCAAAACCACCGGTAAAAAAACAGCAAGAATGCTTAAGTATGACAGAAATGAACCAGGATAGACAAGACAAAGTTATTCTGGAGAGTGGGAACATACGAAATAACAAATCCTTGCCAAGAGAACTTCGTTTGACGCAAAACCACAATGAATCAGTTGCATTCAAACAATCCAAAATTGAGCATCTATTAAATTTAACAAAGTATATATATTAAAAACCTGAACATATAATGTTTTATAAAAGGTTGTTAAATATTAATAAACAAGATACTGAAGACAATGATGCAGAAATAGACAATGACGACAAAAGCAGCGGAAATAGCGACGTAGAATACAAATATTGTTATACAGTTAGAATACTTTTGAGGAATATGTTTTTTCCTGAAATACTTTAAGAATACTTTTGAAGAATATGTTGTTTTTTTTTAAATACTTAAGTTTCGTTTCAATAAATATATATGGAAAATATTCTTGGTTTACAAGCCTCTCTCTAAAAAATTCCTAAAAACAACATTTATCACCACGTTTTTGTATTTTTTTTTTATTCACAAATCCGTTTTTTTTTTCTTGAGATACACCTTAATATACAGGGTGACTTCGAAGTTGAGTCATTTATTTTAACAGTGAGTAGATCTGATCAAAAGAAATGTTTTTTTCCTTTAACATTTTTCTGGTAAAATTAAAGTAACAAAGTTATAGCCCTTTAGAAGTTTGAGTACCGCCCTGTCTCAATAATAATATTATGTGCTCGTGTTTGGCAACAACGGATATAATCCGCGTTATCGGTTCATCGCATCGGAAACAAAAAAGCGAAAGAATTTGGAACGATGTTTTTACAATTATTTTATTCAGTTGTATACAGTCAGTGTCAGTCGGTAACGCGTGAGTGAATAGTGGTGTCTGTTGCGTGGCTCAAACGAAATAAAAAATGGCACATGTTTATGGGACCTTTACATATAATAGATGACATTATGCATAAGTTTGTATACACAGACATAATAAAGCATGTCATGTTACCCTATACGGAAGACAATATGTCCTTAAGATTTTGGGGGTGGTGTCACCCCCGCTTAGGGGGCTGCACGTGCTTACGTGAT